AATACTAAAAATAAAAATAACGTTCAAAAAACACCTGAGAAAAACATATGGTGAAATATTGAAGTGGTGCGTTAATTTTGAGCAGGAGTTTATATGCAGAATAAAAACAGAAATCCATATTTGAATATTTCAAAATATCTCATATCTCGAAATTCTAGGCTTGGTGAGATTTATTAATAAATAAATACTAAAGATGGTCTTTATATAGGATGAAATTCATCTCTAAATAAATTAAACTTTCACGTAATACATGGTTTCCATCAACCTTAAGAAAACATTTAAATTACATATTCATTTCTTTTCTAAATTCTCTAAGTGTCTTCATATTTTTCAAACTAGTACCATAAAAAAATACTCGTTAAAATCGATAATCTCACTTCCTTATCTCTCTTGTCAGCGTCAATAATTGGTTGGTACTAAAACTGTATTTAGTAGTATTGGTATTAAAATATAAGGCAAAAGGAAAGTCAAAGAAAAAACATGTTTTTAGATTTTATAATATTTATTTTTACATTATCCTAAATAAAAATCACAATAAATATTGAGTTAAGCGTGTATTTTATTAAATTATTCAGTTCTATGTCGAATTGATTAAGAAAACATATTCAACATCATAATTTCACTAAAACATTTCAGGTACTTTCTCACTACAGCCTCATAATATTGCTATCAGAAATTACCGAGATACTTACACTACTTACACAGCTGAAAAACGCAATATGGAGCAGAAATCAAATGTGCATGTGCCAGTTTATTATTTGCATTATTAGAAAATATTTTTTCAGAAAATTACAGAAGGGTCTTTCGTGAAAGGAAGAAACAGCTAAAAAATATGAAATATGTATTTTCGGAGATTCGTAATCTCAGATGTTTCTAATATTTTGAACATATAAACAATGTTATAAAGGTTTTTTTACGAGGGTTCGCAACAGCAGAGGTTATATCAACCCTCGGGGTGCCAGTGTTTTTGAAAAAAAGCCCATTTGTAAGTGCGGGCCGCAGGATTCGAACCCGGGACCTTTACCGTACTGTGATGAGCGCCGTGGCAACGCCTAACCGTTGCGGCCACCGACGCCCCTAAGGTCTTATTAGACTGTTTTATTTGTGTGTCTGTTAGCATTTTGCAATTATTTAAATGGGCTATGATTTGCCAATTTATATTCTCTTTAAATAATATTTAACATAATATGTACTGTACATTATTCTACTGTTTAAACTGCATTGGAAAGAGAATATGCCCAACCAGCAGTAGGGAAAATTCCAGAAAAAATAAAAAAAATAAGAAGATAACAGAGAAGAAGGTATGTGTTAACAAGCAGATAATGTATTCAGGGGTGGATACAGACTGAACAATTTAGGACAGTAGCCGAGGGATAGAAAATATTTATTTATTTAGTTATAACCGTTTGGTTTTATTTTGAGAAAGAAAAAAATTATTTTAATCCCACATCTGTATATAAACACCGCCTGAGAGATAATCCGCGGCCAAATCCCTACCTCGTCATATTTAAGTTTTAAATCAGTCTTACTCTGTCTTTTCAAAGGAATTTTTTTTAAACCCAAACCTCGTTTGTTTTTTGAATTTTAACCACCTTGAAAAATGCTCACTTTTTTCGCTTCCTTTGCTTTCCTACCCACAAAAACAAATACTTTAGGAAAGCAGATTGTCCGCGTAAGGTTTCTTTTGTTTTATTAATTTTTATTGGTTTGCTATTCTATCCCAAGCTATTTTTTCCCCCTGTCGAACAAAATGGGTGGTCCTCCGAGTACAATCGTGCAGTAACAGACGTATAAAGGTAACGATGAGCTGGGTTATCGACCTGCTGGAAACATGAAGTTTTTCAGTCAGAAGAGGTCAACACAGAGAAAAAACTTGTAATCTACAAACCGCTACGTTGGGCTCCATTTCAGTCTATGCAGGCCTCCTAAACGAATACAAAAATTTAGAGCAAAGGAGGGAAATGAGAACGTCGCCCTAGTGGCTGTTAACCAGGGGAGAGTAAACGAGGTGTCGCCATCATTTTGTCGGGGACGTTTCCCGCAGCCTTTGTCCTCTCGTCGAAGAGGGTTTGTTTTTAATCTGTGATCTTAATGTAGAATATTTTAAATGTAGGAAAAGCTTTTGACTCGTACCTATCTACGACCTCTAATAAATCACTGGACAGCCACGAGAAGAATCCTAAAAACCACGTCCCATCTTTTCCCTTCCGTCGACACGATGGATCATTGGCCGAATCTGACCAAGAAAAAGCCGATACATTTTCTCGACATCTCCAAGAAACCTTTATAACCACCTTCAAAAGTTGAGCGGGAGTGCGCGAGAATTCGCCGGATGCGCAGCGGCTCCCGGCAGACGAGCAACGCGTGGCGAGCAGAAAAGGTGGCTTTTTTGTTGTCTTCGCTCTTGCTTTTTTTCCCCGGGGACCACAATTTGACATCATCTGAACTCGGCGGCCTATTTTCACGGAGGGAGATCTTTCTACACGTCGGAGTGGACAGGAGTTCGACGATTATTTATTTGCCTGGAAACTGTTCAACGAGCTGCAAGGGGTAATCTCGTGTCCGCAGAACATTTTCATTTTTTTTTGTCCGTTTGTTAATTGATTTCTTAGTTATTGCGGGCATAACGTTTATTTTTTTGTTTTCTTAATTTTTTACAAAAGGGCTTATTCAGCATTGTTTATTTTTTATTATAGAAAGGATCGATACCTACTTGTTTTATTTAATTTTAATTTAAAAAAACGAATATTTATATTTTGTTCATTCTTATTTTTTCAACAAAAAAATATAAAAAAAAGGTGTTTGTTGTATTTACTATTGCTGTAGTAAATTTTATTTGACCTGAAACAACTGTCCTGGTACCACGACAATTTTTCTTTTATAAAATATTTTTAATTACCTTTTTCATTTCTATTATATCTCCAAGAAACCTTCACTCCTCATTCTGAGCCCGGCAATGCTTCAATGGTAGCAGATATTGACGAATACCTTATATCTCCCCTTCCTATGTCACTCCCTCCGAAAGCCGTCACGTCAAGTATATCCTGTCTCGTTTACCGAACCGCAAAGCTCCTGGTTTTGACCTGATAACATCCCAAATTCTCCAACAACTCCCTAAAAAAGGCATTATATTCCTCACATACCTCTACAATTGTATACTCCGCACTACCCATTTTCCCTTACTTTGGAAATATTCTAACATTATCCTCTTCCTGAAACCTGGCAAACCAGCTCAAAAATCCTCATCTTATCGACCAATTAGTTTACTTCCCATCATGTCCAAAGTATTTGAAAAAATTCCCTAACCATCCCTAACCACCCAAAAAAAAAAAAAAAAAGTGAAGAGGGAGGATAACATTGATTATTTTCTCCCCTCCATGTAAATAATTGTACATAAGTTCATGTATCCGCAAATTACATATTGTAAATAATAATTACAGATTGTAATAAAAATAAATAATAATAATAAAAAAATGTAAGAAAAGTTAATTATATATATGTATAAGAAACACGCTGTGATCGCATGTACCTGAAAACAAAAGGTTTACTAGTTTACTTTTACGAGGTAACCTTTTCTCGACCACGTTTTCACTTATACTTATAGTTGTAATTTTTCAATTATCAACTTATTAAATTTTAAATAATGTTTAGATGCTGAGCACCAAAAAACGTAATGTACTTCGGTGCCCACGACACCATGTTCCTTTTTATTTCCCCATTAAGGTTAAAGTAAGATATATAAAATTTTCAATTTTTGTGCAATTGTTTTTTCATGTTTTTAATTGTTGTTTTTTATATGTTAATAAAACAGGCCCTGAAGATGACAGTATAAAAACTGTCAAAAGCTCGGCGAAAACAGAAAGGAAGTTTTTTCTCTGTGTTGACCTCTTCCGTAGATCCTCCGAAAAACTTCATAGACGTATAAAGGTTTACGTGAATAGCTATCTATTTATCTATTAGTATTTATTTATTAGTTTTGCTGAACCTCTAATTCATCAGCCACTTCTTGATGAAAAATTTTCTTACGTTGAGCTATCCAATGTTCTTTCGAAATTACAAGATATATTAGTCTCCTGGCCCAGACGGTATTCCTTATGAGTTTTACAATTTTGCCCCTCAAGAATTTCTAGCTCATCTCCTTTCTTTTTTCAATTTTATCTTTGACTCTGGTCTAGTGCCTCCCTCTTTCGGTAAATTTTTTATTTATTTCATTATTTCTCCGATATTCAAGCAAGGGGCTCTCCAAAAATTTAGAGGCATCTGTCAGTCTACTCCTTAAACGCCTGGAGTCCTTCATTTGCAATAACAATTTGCTTAGTACTTTCAGATGGGTTTCCGCAAAGGCTTGTCAACATGTGATTCTATAAACTTAGTAATTTAGGGATTTCAACTAAATTTCTTAATATCTTGAAGGCGTTGTTTTCTGAATCAGCTTCAATATGTACGTGGTGTTGAGGGCTGTCCGATTTTTTTAAGGTTTATAATGGAGTTAGACAGGGTTGTCTCTTAAGTCCGTTATTATTTAGATATCCCCTCTATTTTGGATTATGGCTGTCGAACTGGCGGCCAGTTAATTAAAATATTAATGTATATGCAGACGATATCGTCATTATGGCAGACACGCCAGCAGACTTTCAGAGTAATATAAACCTTTTCGAGTCTTACAGTGATCAATGGGGTGTCACGAGCCTAAGGACATGTTTAGGTGGGGGGCATTTGTCCCATTCCATCACAGAAGGTAGGTGAATCAAATTTCGGGCTAAAAGGCACTCGGCTTCTGATCTCTGCAGCGGACTGATCCTAGCTTCTCTAACTAATTAAACCGTAAGTGCTTTTTGTCTCCACCGATTAAGCTCCTCCGTTCGCTCAATTTTCAATTATTACTTATTAATTGCCACAAGAAAGTTTAAGGCCTGTTTATTTTAGTTTGTATAAATTTTACCATTAAGTTTTTTTTTTATTTTTATTTTTTTTTTTATAATTTGTAGTACATTACAACTACCTTAAAGAAGGTAATAAGTAACAGTGAGCAAGGTAATTAAAACAAAACAAAATTAAAAATCAAGAGTGGAGAAAACACCCATTGGTATTACTCCAATGTTAAAATAATATTGTTTGTTCAATTGATTCCTGTGTCATTATCACTTTCACGGTCATCACCATCCCTAACCATCCCTAACCATTAAGTTAATAAATTTATTTTTGGTCAAGAAGGTTTTGTTTTACTTTTGATTTTCATTTTATTTTCTTTATTTTAATTCCCCCACGCTTTCATCACAGCGCACTCTGCTGATTTCGCTGTACGTGGGCTTTGGAAACTGCGAGCCATTTCCCGGACTTAAGGTAAGTTTAGGTAACCGAAGTCCGTCGCAGGATAGAGCAAAGCTGACACCAGGTAGCAGAGCGTGGTTCACGGCTAAGCTGACACCTAGTAGCTTGAACGTAGAAAGATCCCCTGCCACAGAAAAGAGAAAAGCAAAAAATTTTGAGTCCCCAGTAGAATTTTTTTTTTCTTGTAACCTGCAGGTTTTTGCAGAATTGAAACGTGCACAGACACGTCGATTGCGTAGAAGTTTTGAAACTTTGTGTCCCTATACGCAATATTAATTGGGTTTACTACCCTGGTAGCAGAGATAAATTTAAATACACCAAAACTTACTTGACCAAACTTTGTCTGGCTTAAAAAAATAATTCAGGAGATAAAAGTAAATTTCTATAAAATTTTAAATTTATAAATATATTTTGCGCCTAAATACCCAAAAATGTCCCAGCAACAAATAAAAACTACCCAGCCTGAATCAGCACAAAAACAGGGTGCTGTCCCCCAAGTTCCGTGCAATTTTAGCGATCACGCAGTCACGAGCGAGTCCGTTAAATGCAACAAATGTGGTAAGTTCTACCACTTCGAATGTGAACCCAAAATCCGCAGTAGGGGAAAAATGGATTAAAATGCCCATGCCCCGTAGGGAATCTGTCAATTGTACCGCATGTTCACTCCAGAGTCCGGACACACTAGTAACGGCCGATCTAGAAAAATTCAAATTAGAAATAGGGGAAAATGTTAAGGATAAATTTAGCTCCTTAAAGAAATCATTAACGGACACATTAGATAAACTACAACAAAATTTTGTAACTCATCTAGCGGCACTAAACGCGAAAAACGGTGAATTAGAGAAGCAAATTAAGGCCGTATAGGAGGAAAACAAAAATATCCTTAAAATTTTGAGCGAACAATCCACATTAATCAATAATTTACTGGGACAAACCCAGGCCGAAACACGGGACAACGCGCAATTTGAAAATTTAGACACGTCAATTTCCCCACCAGATTTTAAGCCCATAGCTTTTCAGCCCCAAATATTTAATAAACAAATTAAAATTCCGAAATATTTAGAGGATTTGGCCGCCTCAGTCCCAATTTTATCCACAGATAGCCCCTGGGATATTTTAAAATTTATTGGTAAATTATATGATATTAATGCTGCAGCCCCCGAATATTTTAGCGAATTGGTAAAACGGATAGCAGTGAGACATAATAACCCCGTATTTCAACAGATATTAAATAATCTTAACTATAATAATTTAATCGAATTAAATGAAATCATTCTAGACACCTTAATAAATTTAAAAACCAAAACATTCTTAGTAACGAGAAAAGTTCTAAGAAATCAACAGCCCCTCGAAACCTTTAGAACATATACCTCAGAGATAATTAAATTCTCTAAAATTTTGGCCGACTACGGGACGTCGTAGATATAATTTTATTAGGGGTTAACACAGAAACGAGGGCGAGATTTTCATACACCGAAAAGCCCACCACATTGGCCCAATTGCACAATTTACTGTAGCAAGTCGAAAGACTTGAAATTTCCTTAAATCCGAGATTAAGGGGGAATCCAAACGATTAAATAAATCTTTTCGGTACAATAAAAACTTCCCGGCCTCCACCAATTACAAAAACGCCAATTCGAGAATTCCCAATTACAAAAATTATAATCAGGGCATCAGACTGCCTTCAGGAGGCAACTTTAATAAAAACCGCGATGCAAATGGCCACAATAATTATAGCGCAAGTTTCAACCAGAATAGGCAGGAAAATTTTAATAGCAACAATGATTTCAGTTCGCGAGGTACAAACGGCCGAAACTTTAAGACACAATATAACAACAAACCTAAGCAAGGAAAGCTAATCCCCAAACCCACCCGAGATAAAAACAATTATACTCCCGGCCGTATTAACCAAATACACTCTACCATCCCCAAAAAATACAATAAAAATCTCGTGCCACCTAACCGGCCAGGGAAGCCATCGGATAAAAATAGGCCCAAAACATTAGACCGGAACCCGCTGGCAAGGGTTATCTGTTAATTTGAGCTGACTCTATGACTATGATAGAGATTTCGGACTCATAGAAAAGAAAAAGGTCATCCTGTTATGATTCCTGATGACGTATCGAGCCTCATTAAACCATCTCGGCCTTCAAACCCTTTCATACTAATTAAATTGAAAGATGAAGATAATTTGATTTCGGTGCCCTCGCCGATGAATGAACATCAAAGCAATACAAGTTAGAGTGCACTCTCCACACGACACACAACAATGACACAACTACACAAAAAACACTTCGAGCCTTGAATTTGATTTCAATAAACATCGAAACGTTGGCACGATAACAAAATGTTTCTCTAAACATACATCACACCCGACTGCATCTCAAGATCTCTAAGTAAACATTTTCTGTAATTACTTTTTCTATTTTTTTCTTTTTTGATATATTAGACTTTTCGCTAGTTTTGAAAAAGATTTTTTTTTGCGTTAAGTGAACAATTTCTACAGCGAAAGGTATTGGAGATTTAGACAAAATTGTCGAAAACATCAAAACTCCATCTCGCAACTACACCTCAACCGGTACCCGTAGAACCAAAAACCAGTTAAAACTTTTTGCAATTTGGTAGGCAGTGGAGGTTGATCACGCATTCGAGAGGTGTTTATAACTCATTTCAACATGACGATGAGTTTTAAGCTTGAAATCCGGATAGTTGAAAACAACAAATTTGTGAGTGGAACCATATTATGAATCTACAAACCACTCAAACAAAACAAACAAGCATCCGGTCACAGTGTCGCTGAAACCCCAACCCTAGACCGAACTTCTCATTTACCGGCAATTCTACTATTTCCGTAATTTCCAATAGGACAGAGCCCAAGCATTTGTTTCGATCTTCTGTTAAGAACGAATTTTTCGAATTGGTAGACTGGGAGACAAATGTGTTTAAAATCGATCTGCAACAGCGGTGTGCGGTAGCAGGGGGATTACAAAGGAAAGATAGGTCTGTGGTGATCAAAAATTCCTAGAGCTCATGTTCCTTATGGGAATGATGGAGAAGATTAGAAGATATTCCTACTAATGGGACACAAATGAGAAATTTAGTCTTCCTTTCTTTCGAAATCACATACTGAGGGTTAGATGGATGGCTATTCAGCAGGCAGCACCCATCTTGCTCCCAACCCCGGGTCCGAAAGTCAGGAGGAAATAGACGTTGAAGCTAAGGTTCGTTGATCCTTTATAAAAAACAAAACAATATCTGAAATAATCGGACCTTCATATACGAATCCATGGCATGAAGAGGGCTGATTTCGTACCGTCAATATATGTCACTGAAAAGCAAGCTTGGCTTCAAATTATATGACGGAACCTGATGGATGGGCTGACCGTTTTTTGGTGTAGCAGGTGCTGCTGACCCTGACGGACAAGACGCAATTATCCATAACAATATCACCATCAAATATGGACATGAAACCAGTCACACTCAAAAACATAGCAAGCAAGAAGAAACTAGCAGCTGCTACAAATCAACTGATTTTCTACCTAAAATATAGACAAAACAAGGTATTTCCTACTCACATAACAAATAACTTTATCGCCAAAAGGAAAAAAATCACAGTCTACACATCCGACGAGGACTACAAAAAGAAGAATCAGCCCGTGAAACGGAAGAAGAAAACGATCGACCAAGAAGCGAAACATTGGTGAAGAAATTGAAAACCAACATTTCATCATTGAGAACAGTCAAGGGGGAGATCCTTCCGACAGAACCCATCGGATACAAAATAATCGAAGCCCACTCAGCCGCAGACCACCCTGCCGCGAGGCTCGTACATGTTGCGCAGACAGGGTGGCGAGGGGCACGACTCAGGAAAGAATATGCTGCCACAGAATGTACAAACATATGCCCCGGAAACTGGCCTCCTTTGTGGAAGACGACGACCTGCAAACCTCGTGGGAAATGGATTGGAGGAAATGAACAGACCTATGGAATCGGTAACATTTTAGAACGGTTGTAGAACTCCAGCGGGCCTGACGACTTGTATGAAGTGGCTGGCGACTCCTCCCAGGTCTTTACATTTGCGTGCATAAGCGGGGAAGAGGTACATGTGGCTATGATTCACGTCGGTAAGAAAAAGTACGCTCCTACAGGGTGGTCCCCCAAAAGACAGATGCCTCAGGAAAAAGAAATATCAAATTGGTTATCGAATATCGTAAATTAAACGATGTAAACTATTGAAGATAAAGCATACATGTATAATGATGAGCTTTAAGCTTGAAATCCGGATAGTTGTAAACAAAAAATTTGTGGGTATTTTCAAAACGTTTATCTAGATACTCACCCTTGAAGGCCGATACACAGCCGTCAAACAGGCGCTCTTAACCGCATACGACGACGCCGAGCGCCAGCGTATGCTCCTAACAGATTTAGAGTTGGGAGACAGATAGCCATCACCCAATTGAAGGAGATGCTTAGACGAGCGACTACCCAGTTTGATGAGCGTGTACTTCAGATGATATGGATGGAACGCCTACGCACTCAAATACAGACCGTACTGACTGTGATTAAAGAGGACCTCAACCAATTAGCCGTTTTGGTAGATAGCCTCTAACAAATACAACCCGCCTGTCAGCAACGCAGTATTAGATATACATAGATAGACAAATGTTT